TATTATTACAATTATTATTATTACCACTATAAAACTGTGTCGACTGGGACGTAGAACCCCTACATTACAAAACATAACTCTCAACAAGATTGGTGTTTTGGAAGGTGCACACTGACCTAATCAACAAACAGAATAGCAAGCTTAGCCTGAAACTGTTTGAAAAGGCAGGGAAATCATGTATGTTAAACTATCTACACGCACACAAAATGCCAGGTGTGACAGAAATAGGTCAATTGTAAGGTAAAGGCTGATACAAAGTGCACTGACCAGGTCATTAGGACCTCCAGTGAATGTGATTTATTACAGATGTCTAGATGCGATGTAGGTCTATTTCAGTGAATGTGATTTATTTAAGTTGTCTGGATGTATTACAGTAAACGCAATGCATTACAGCAAAAAGCGATGTAGACCTATTTCAGTGCACGTGATTTATATCAGTAAGAGTGCTGTATAACGGAAAACGTGATTTATATCAGTGAGAGTTCTGTATAACGGTAAACGTGATTTATATCAGTGAGAGTGCTGTATAACGGAGCTGTATAATAGAAAACGTGATTTATTACTGTTGACACAGTTCAAGGCAGTGGGCATGATTGTGTTACTGTGTACATGGGATGTGGTTTTCTAACTTGACACAAACCGTATAGTATACCTGCCTGTACACAGTAATAGCAACAACAACAGCAATGACAACAGCAATGACAACAACAACGACGACAACAACGACGACAACAACGACGACAACAACGACGACGACAACGACGACGACAACGACGATGACAAGAACAACACGGACTACAACAAAACAACAACAACAAGAACGCCACAGCCGCCACCAACACCAACAGCAACAACAACAACAACAATAACAACAACAACAACAACACAGCCACCACCAACACCAACAGCAACAACAACAACAACAACAACAACAACACAGCCACCACCAACACCAACAGCAACAGCACCAACAACATTACCACCTACCCCTCTTCCCGAACCAGTTGGCAGACGTCGGTGAGCAGACGACGCTAAGAAGGAACACAACAGTGACAGCTGCGAGAGCGCGGGACATTTTGAGATCTCTGGAGCGGGACTCGAACCTCTTCTTTGTGGCACTGGGCGTAGTTCTGGCACAGGCTTGGGGGCCCTTTATCTGTCAAAGAGGAGAAAGAAACTTTTACGTTTACTTTTATCCGCGGCTTAGATATCTATACCCTTTTGGGTGTCGCGGGAAGAAAGAGACGTCTCTCTGCCACCAGCCGGAGAGCTTGGGTCAGGGGGATGCTGTGAGTGGAAAGACACAGAGTGAAAATAATATAAGGAGAAATGCCCGATTTCGTCTCTCATTTGTCATTCTTGGATTTCGTCGTACCCGTTTTCGTTCCACCCTTTCCTGTCCCCCTTTGATCCGATTACTTTTAGACAAAGATCTTACATAACAAGACAGTTCACTCAGCCAAAAAAGTGTCCCTGGAAGTCCGCGCTTTGGTTCAGATGGCGCTGCAGTCTTTGTTTTGAAGCTTTTTTTTGTTTCTCCAGAAGAAGAATAGGAATAGCACAGTTTGTTAGTTTCGCTTTTATTGTTTTCACACAAGTAGGTCAAGGGTAACTCTGTTCACACAAGTAGGTCAAGGGTAACTCTGTTCACACAAGTAGGTCAAGGGTAACTCTGTTCACACAAGTAGGTCAAGGGTAACTCTGTTCGCAAAGTCCGCGCTTTTTCGAAGAGGACGCCACCGGAGTTTGAGGAGTTTTTTATTTGGCGCAAAGAGAGAAGTGGACTATCTTGTTAGGCAAGATCTTTGTTATATTATAGACTATTGCAACTGCCACTTCCGATTTCAAAATGGTAATACCATGCACTGAGAAAATTCATAGTTTATAATCACATAAACAGGGAGGTGGAAGTGTAGAATTTCGTGCAGAAAGATCTTTTTTTTTAACGTTAGTAGTATAAATGTCTCTCAGTATAACTTTTATTTAAAACCTGTTATAAATCTAGATCTATGTTATAAATACAATACTATGGCCATTTTAAAAAAGACACTAGACCCTTGTGAAAGAGGTGCTTGAAGGACAGATGTGGGACAGGAGAGCCAGAGGAAGGCAAAGAATGACATGGATGGACAACATAAGAACATGGGACTGGCCTGGGTATGGCAGAATGTGCAACGACAGCTCGCGACCGTGAATGATGGAGGGTCATTACACGTCAACCTCTGAGTCAGAGATGACACCTCCAGGTATCCAGGTAATAATCCAGGGCAAAAACTTTGAGCATTGTTTACTACAGTCAGTCTGCCACTGTCTCTTGAGGTTGAAGGCTGGCATTTCCAGTAAATTTCCAAGGCTCGAACTCGGATTTTCCGCTTCGGAGACGAGCGCACTAACAGCTCTAATCGTCGACGCCTAGATTCTATATCATTAGGTAACAGTGGTTACAAGTTCCGCAAATCTCTTACCTAAACAGAAAACAAAACAAAAAACGCACATCACCCTAAGTGTTTAATTGTGAGGCATCATTGTGAAATCAGGCACTCGTTCAAATAATGATAGATCGAAGAAACTGGCATTTGAACATTTTTATTAAATTTTTTTTTTTTTTTTTTTTTTTTGGGGGGGGGGGGGGTCCGTTTAGCAATTTTTATCGAATTTTTGCTTATTGACTCAACACCTTTAACTTTAAGGTCTATTTAAAACATGTTTATGTGTAGATTTGACTGAAAATGTTGATTTAAGGCTCAAAAATGTAAATCTGACGTTTGGAAGGACTCTCAAGCTTTGGAAGTCTCCAAATTTTGGCGACCATTTTCTTGTAAATTTTGCTTCAGGAAACAGGCGACCCTCACCTCCTTCAATCACAAATATCTCGACTTCTTTCTATTCAAGACATTCGACTACTTTTTTCACAAACAGAAAAAAACAAACAAAGTAAGAAGCTTTAAGATGATACCAATAACTCCTTATGCCCCTAAATTGACGGGCGCCTGATTCGACCGTGCTGTGTCGTAATTGTTCAAGTTTTGTCTCTAGCTACATACCATCATAATTTGGATCGGTTAGGAGGCTAGATCTACCCCCCCCCCCCCCCAGTGATACTGACTGAAGTGTCTTTAGGCTATTTCTAAAGGGAGGACAGTAACATGTTCTCATGCACAGAAGAATTGTAAATGGGCTGATTTATCAATGTCATGCTCATACTGTGCCGGAACTGCCACAGGGAACTGCTTCTCTTTCTTTCCTAATCCTCACTATCGTCATTTTTCCTCTACTTCTCTTGTATGTTTGTCACTGTTTTATGAACTGCTATTTCCGGGGTGCCTTGATAGTCGAAGCAGACTTTGTGTTGTTGAAACTAGAGAGGTGAGCAGAGTAAGTCTGATTCCCTGTTTGGACTTCTCTGTTGACATCCACCCCTTGGCGCTCATATATTGCCTCATGCAATTGCGAGTGCGGTAAAATCTCTACTAAAACTTTTTTAAAATAAATTTAGGAGGCTGGTCCCCACCTATAGTCCACATAGCAGCTTGTACAAAATGTGTCCGTGTAGCCGTGTGAAATACCCCCCCCCCCCAGTGCGGGCAAGACAAGACTCGAGACTCCCCCACATTACACTGGCCTGTCACTAAGCAGCTTGAAGGGATCTGTTCCCACTTATTTCTTTCTCTGAGAAACAGCAGCCTATGCAGTTCCTTTTGTTTTCCTGGATTTATACCGGATTTCTTATGTCAGCGATCTTTTAAAGTTTTGTTTTGTTTTGTCTTGGTTAATTTGTATTTTATTTTTCTGCGGACATCTTTGTTGTCGTTCTTGCTATGGTGTCGTTGTCGTTTTCCTGTCTTCTGAAAATGTTTTGTGTGGGTGGTTGGCGGGTGCTCTGGTGAGACTTGCCCCTTCTTTCTTATCAAACCTCTATCTATCGTCGTTATCGTTCCTCCATCTTTGTTTGTTACTCTCTCGTAGAGGTTTCCTTTTCAGAAAATTAGTTTTATGTTTGGCTGTCTTGGTTTATGTAAAATAAAAGTTGGTTTGAGGTGTGTGTGTGTGTGGGGGGGGGGGGGTAGGAGAGCAGAAATTATTTCCTTAAGAAGCACATTATCATCATCATCATCATCATTATGATCATCATCATCATCCGGTGCCTTGCCGACTGGCGTGGGTGATCATGGACCTCCACTTCACTCTGTCTTGCGTTGCAGTGATGGTGTCTGTTGTTCTTGCTGCTCCCAGCCATGTTGTCATCTTGTCCTGTATCTTTTCCCTCTGTCTGCCTCTGCCTGTCTTTTTATCAAACTTGCCTGTTGTTACAATATTCTCCAATGCTTTTTTCCGCATTGTGTGCCCAATAAACTTTGCCTATTTCTTTCGTACAATCGTCATAAGCTGTCGTCTGCAATTTGTTTCAACCAAAACTTCTTCATTTGTTTTGTTTTTTAGCTGTCCATGGGATTCGCAGCATGCGTCTTATGAACCACAACTCTGTCGCCTCAATTGTTCTTTCCAGCTGTCTATTGATTGCCCATCACACTCGTATAATAGGACTGGCTCCATGCAACTTTTCAGTTTAGAAGCACACACAGACCCCAAATCCCAAAATGCTCAAAAAGTACAGAAATTAGATTCTATCTACTGGCTTCTGGTAATATTCATGAGTGGTTTATCCTTTTCAGTTAATTATATTCTCCCTCTCTCTCCCTCCCTCTCCCCCTCTCCCTCCCTCTCTCTCCCTCTCTCCCTCCCTCCCTACTCTCTCCACTCTCTCTCTGTCTCTTCTCTCTCTCTCCCTCCCTTTCTCTCCCTCTCTCCCTCCCTCCCTA